GGTCACTGACCTCGGCCGCGCGGCCTTGGCGGAGGGGGGAGCGGTCACTGACCTCGGCCGCGCGGCCTTGGTGGGGAGGGTCACTGACGTCAGGGAGGTCTGTGACGTCACGCACACGGACGGCGGTTCTTGCTTGTGTACGTTTCCCCGTGACTTCCACTCTTGGTGCTGGCCGGTCAAATCTTTCATCACTGCTCGTAGGTGTATTACATAGTTTATAAGATGTATATACTAGCTGTCATTGCGGTGACAAGTTGTGTTCACTGACACTACAAGTTAAAATAAAAACAATAATAGCGTGTGCATAACGCGCGCCTGTGTTGTGCTAGTAATGGAAAAAAAAAAAAAAGAAAAAATTACCGCGCAGATATTACAAATTTATTAAGGTGAGAGATCTGAATTGATTATTGCGAATTGCATTATTTTCGCTGCGCTGGTTTCTTTTGCGCCATCGCCCGGTTCAATATTAGGGTTGAACGTACCGGGTGTTTTATTCGGGCGGAAAGACACGGCTTCTTTTAATAACCCGACACAGCGTCACATCGTCCATTATACGGACTCTCACTTACAAAGTATAATGTCTCCTTCCTTTTTACGCCACGAGTATGCGTCCAATTTTAATACTCTTGCATCTATTTTCGTTTTCGCTCTTCTGCATTTTTCTCCGTTTCTCTTCGCTCGCTTTCTATGCTTTTACCTCCGCCTCAACAGAAATCATTTTCCATTTCGCTTCATCAACGCTCACGCAGCTCAGACACGCCGGGACAGAATTTTCGTAATGTGTAACAATACATACATGTATATTGTGCGAAGGAAGGAGAGGATCTCTTCTCATACACACACACATCGCATCGAAGTCGTAAGGCCTTCTCCATGATGTATATTTTACAATTCTTTGAATCGACGAATTCCAAGATTACGTCAATGATATTCGTGTGTTTACAGTTTGTTGCAGATGAAAATGTAATTTGCTCGTTATCTACGCATTTCGTCGAAATGCAAACTGGTTCTTTTTTTTTTGTTTTTTTGTTTTTTGTTTTTTATTGTGTGAACGTTTTTTAATTTCAATAAAAACATCGCGATAGTTCCTGTCGCTTCGGCAAAAGATGTAAAAAAAATCACACGCGTATTTATTTCATATATAGAAAAATACGTTTTTTTTTTTTAATATTTTTAGTCACGCGGAATATTTTTGTAACGATTTTCGTTTCGGTTCTCTCTTCCATCCGCTTAATTGGTTTCTATTCTCGTTTTCTGTTACAGAATCCGTCTAGCCAGGTCGCCATGACCGGACAGAATCAGGTGTCCAACGCCGGCGAGACTCAGGGCGGACCCAATACGGTGCTTCGCGTCATCGTGGAACACATGCTGTACCCGATCACCCTCGACATCCTCTATCAGGTAAAAGCGGCCACCCGTTACATGACGCGCGGCCGGAGCTCATTTATTATTTCTTCGTTTCATATATTGAAAGCGGTCGCAGCCGCCGCGCGCTGAATGCAGTATCGCGTGTGTAATGCGACGATGAATTATTGTACGCATTCAAATATGCATGTGTATATATACGCGTCAGAGAAAGAGAGAGAGAGAAAGAGAGGAGAAAAAAAGAAGTGAAACTTTTTTTCACTAGTTCCTGCACGATTGTGGGTACTTCAGAAGTTTTTTTTGACGAACAATTCGCGATTGAATCGGATTCAACAATGCCGTTGTAAAGCTGTCAGCTTTTTTGCGCAAAAAAAACGAAAAAAAAAAAAAATTCGCTGCCCGAACACTGCGTGCTTTGCTCTTGCGCAAATAACGTCGGGGTAAGCGCGTTTCTATCATTCGGAACGTTGAAAATGAAAGGGCTAACGCGATTTAACTTGGCGCGCGGACAAGGGATAGAGAAGGTGAGGGATGTGTCGTCGTCGCGCCGAAAAATGTCGCTCTACGCTCTACGAGTGTTGAATTAGTCGAATTTCGCGGACAATCCCCGCCGGTCGTTAACTCGCTCGCGGATATTTGATCAACGTTTACAAGTCGGGCGTGAATTCCGCTTGATTAATCCGTCGTGCGCGGCGCGGAAGAGGCGATGTGTTGCGGCCGCGCGCGCGGCGAAGTTACATCGCGTTTTACATATTGAGTGCTTGTCGTCGCGAAGCGACGAGTGTTTGCAGTTTTAAAATTGAATATACGCGCCGGTCGCCCCGCGCCGAGATAACTGAATTCTAAGTAATTGATTGTTAAAGTTATAGAATAATCTCCTTGCCGCGCCCACCGTCGACCACCGTCGCCGCTGCCGGAGTTGGCTCTTATTCGCGCGCGAATAGGGCGGGATTTTACACCGACGCTTCCCCGTAAGACGCTAATTGCACTCGCAGCGGAATTGACATTTTGCTTTGTTATTGAAATGCTTCGAAGGCGCGCGAAATGAAATTTACGGCGATTCAAATGTCACGTCGCGGCGATGATGTTTATGCAGATTTGTGCAAATGTAATTCTCCGCAAAGAAGCAGCGAATTTATTCGTACAAGAGAAGAATTTAAAAAAAAAAAAAAAAAATATGTAGCAAAAAAATTATAGTAATAAAAAATCTCCGATAATTTCATTTTTATTAATTTTGGAACTCTTGCTCGCGAGTACAACAAAAAATAGATATTGCTTTTATGCAAGAAAAATTTTAAACAAGAAAATACACCTCGTTCATTGTAGTGCGCACCTTAATTACTTTTGCGATGGGGCGGATTTCGCTTTTGTACGAGCGCGCGGGATAGCGCTATTTTGTCTTCGGTAGAACAACAAGATGGCAAATGTTGTTAGTCATCATTAGAAGAGAAGAGTCTTTTTCTCCCAAGGATCGTGAATAACCAGAGTGCTTTCGGTCCAAGCTAGACTAGCCTATGCATTTTTAAGTACCGCACTCAATAGTGCCGTAACGTCCTTGATGTGCGCGCAAAAAAGTCGTTTTCCTCTTCTTGCGCAAGTTGTACGTGAAAGCGGGATGCGTGCCGCTTTGTTGTTTCGCCGTCGAAGCGCCGATTGATTTCACACGATACAGACGATATGTGAAATAAACATTTAATCGGTATTTTTTTTNTTNTTTTTTTTTTTTTTTTTTTTTAATATCAATTATCGATTTAAAAAGAAAGAGCGACGCGCATTCCTCTTCAATTCACATTTCGGTAATTAAAGCGTTGACGAACGAAATGTCGCCGAAATGAAACATTGAAGAGAAACGGTTGTATTGCATTAGATTTTATTACGATATTTTTTTTTTTTTTTTTAATTAATTGTTTACTGCGCATTAAAAAAGATCGAAGTTGAATGTTTTTCGCGATTTCTGTCACCTTTAATTAGCAAAAATGTAAACTGAATTCTCAGTCGCAAATCCTCGGCTGCTCTCGATCGATCGATCTCTCCTCCCATCTCATTTGATAAACATTTGCTTTTTCAATAAAGCTCGATACATCGAAGTGGAACAGCGTGCTTATTTTGCGAATGATTATTTATGCGGAAGAATCTATAGAATTTCTGTTGCGCCATCGACTCTATCACGGCGCAGCACAAAAGCTTTTTACCTTCTCGCGAATGTTCTGAAGGAATTGCAAATGCGAGTGGCGTGCAAGGAAACTATCTTTAACACTATATCGATTCACTCGACGGTATACATAGAGTGGTAGTTTTTCTTTTTTTCCTCTCTCTCTTTTTCTCTCTCGCGTGGAATCAGGTCGTTGTCGAGCGGAGAATGAGAAAGAATGAACCGAGAGCGCGGTGGTGCGCGCGTGTATGTATGCGAGAAAGAGAGCGAGAGAGAAGGAGAGCCGCACTAAGCCGATAATGGACCGGGCAGAAAACATTCCCCGGATTATCAATCGACGATTGGCCGGTCATACATGTTCGGCTGCGTAAGTAGACTTTACACGATGCTTTTGGCGAAGCTGGATTTGTGTCCGGTCGCAAGCGCGCGCGCGCGCGCGACTTGTAATCAGCTCGGGAGATTAATCCGTGTCAAAGCTAGCCACCTGGGACTGGGCTCGCTTATTGGTCGGACATGGATTCTTCGGGAGGTCGGGGATAATTCGTGTGCCGCACAAAGAAAATCCCGTCGCACGACGAACTGACATTTATCTCCGGGATAGATCCCGGAAGGGATAAACTCCTTCGTGTGGTTTCGAAAATTCTGTCTTAAATGCGATCTTGCAATTTTTGTTTTTAATAAAACGTCTCTTTTTCTCTTGACACGATTTAAAAAGAGAAAAATAAAAGAGGAAGAGCGCGTTTTTTATAACTCATTGCAGACATATCCTCTCCCGTATTTTTAGATACGTGTACGCTACGCGGCGGCGCGGCTTTCGCGAGGTCTGACGAAAGGTCGAGCCGTTCTACTGCCGCACGTAAATCCGATACGGTGCTGCTCTCTCGGAGCTTACAAATGCTTCTTTCTCGAGAGGGATTAAGCGCGTCGTCTTGAAATCTCGATCCCGCGCGTTCGTTCGCTCTCTCTCTCTCTCTCTCTCTTTTTCTCTCCACGCGTAAAAGTTTTACAATACCTAAAACGTAGTTACAACACGCGAGTTTACGCGCGATAATAAATATTTTTATGTGTTCTATGAGGCACGAGACGCGCCCCCTATTTCCACGTGAAATTTCCGAGTGTTTTCTCGGATGTTCCGCTCGCTGTGTGCGAAACAAGGTCTCCGAGTTCCGCGGGATTTCGATTGTTTCTGTTGTCGCGGTCTCCGAATTGAATTTTAACTTTTGTTCTTTATTTGTGTTCTCTCGGTTTGTTGCGCCTAGCCGCTTCTTCGCGCGATTAACCGGCGCGGCCAATTTACTTGCCGGCAGGTTTCTTCTTCTTCCCCCCCTCTCCCTGCCTGGTAGAAGTCTCTCCCAACGATATTTAACTTTACGGTCTCTCTCCCCCGAGCCAGAGGCGGCTAAATGCCGCGAAGTCCGCTCTTTTCGCGAGCGGAAAACTTCTCTCGCGCGCGACCCCCCGCGAAACGGAGGGAAAGACCGCGTCCCGAGAGGGTTTGCGAGAAAGGGGTGCAGGTGTTCAGGTGAGCTTTCTCGGCGCGGCAAACCCCAGCACTCTGAAAACTTAGTAATCCGGCCGATGCTATTAGTCGCCGTTCCTGCGCCCCGGAAAATTCTTAATGATCCGTGAGCTCGGCCGAGGATATATCGCGCGCGCGCGTGCAAAAAAAAATTGGACTTGCGGAATTTTCTTAGTCGAGTTTTTTGTTTAATCAAGAAACCTCGACGTGGAGCTCGTGATTTAATTTTTAATGAGTTGTGCAAGCGCGAGTTATACAAGAATCAAATAATTAGTACGGACTCTTATTAATTAAATTATTATTATTATTATTTTTGTAATATATCTTGTAGAACACAACTCTTCTCCTTTTTGTTTTGTGCATTACAGAGCGTGCACGTTGCATAACCGAACGAACGAAATCCCGAAGGGTGCGTCGTCGTGCGTTTCTTTCTCAAACCTTTTACTTCGCGTTTGAAGTCTCGAATGTAAAAAAAAAAAAAAAAAAGAAAGAAAAAAAAACTTGGGCGTATAACGTTCGCGAGTCCGCGGAGCGTAAAGAGAGAGACAGCGGGCTTTTAACATTTACGTTCCGGTTAAATGGTCCGGGAACTTCATCGAGGTACACGACGACATAAACTGTCGCTGCTTGGGAGAAAGGGTATGCTCGTCCGCCACCTGGGACGCCCTAAATCTCGTCTTATTAAGGCCCGCGTTGCCGTGAAATGGCGACCGCGAGCGTCATCGGCGCTTGAGGGGCGATTTCGCGAAATGCAATATATTTAATTATCTTTTTTTATATATATACATATATATTTTTTTTTCTTTACGGCCGGCGATCAAACCCGGCGTCTCGAACGAGAAGCTTCTCGGTTTCCCGGATGTTATTCCGGCGGCAAATAATCTTCTTGACTTGTAGATGTTATTGCGTTTGATGTATGTAAAGTACATGTAAAACCGTATTGTATAAAAATAATATAAAAATATACGCGAGACGCGAATGCATCAAAAATCAACATATTTCAACGGAATTACACATCTCTCGTGGGGGGAGAGCAGTTTTTTTTTTGTTTTTTTTTTTTTAAATCTTGCATACCATTAACGTGATGGCCGGGAGGATAAATTTGATGTACTTTAAAATCGCTTTTTTTCTGATATATTAAAATCAGAGCATCGTGTATGTAGATTACTACCGTTATATAATAAAAATTATTCGTGAATTATAAATGCGAAAAAAAGCGACGAAGGTTTTACAAAAATGGAAATGTCATCACTCTGCATTCAGCGCAAAATGATTTTCGCCGTTTGAAAAATACATAAAAAAGCGAAATTATCGAAATACACACGTACGCGCACACACGTGTGTTTCGAAAATCGAAATGGCAAA